AGGAAACTGCTAAAGGCCGTTTTACAGCTTGCAATTCTTTCTGCAATATGCAAGAAACTTGAACATTTGTAACAGTATACCTATATACCTATATAAAACCGAATTTTACAAGACCCTCTATCTATGAAGAGTAGTTACCTTATGTCAAGATAATACGATACTTAAACTCTGCTCGGCTAGAATACTTGCTTAAGAAAATCTTTCTCGACATGGATTTAGATATAGATGGTCAAAATTTATAATGTTGTAAATAGAGTTGACGATATTATCGATTGTTTATCGATGGTATCGATATTTCAAAAAATATCGAACAATCGAAAATATCGATAGTGCAAAGTGCAATCATCGATAGTCGCAGGATAATCGAATTCAATAAACTACTAGCTACTAACTTAAATTAACTAGGAAGTATTTATGTAAAATAGGTTAGGTCTTAGGTCGGGGTTTGGGGTGCACAGGATTCACTGCACCACTGCACTGGTGTAATCCACGATAGACATTAGACTATAAGACGATTAGATAGACGACAGACTCTCGAGCGGCGACTTTAATAGTTTAGTATGAATAAAATAGCTCTGTTTCAACCGACATGAGAACCGTTTCAGAACCAGTAATTTCCAGTTACCCACCTATTTTTCAATAAGTTGAACGGTTAACCTACTTGACAAATGAATTAGGCACTAGCTGACGTCACACGCATAAGATCTCAAAGACATTTTTGTCCCCCTATTGAAAGTGACGTTATATGATTTTTGACGTAATAGCTAGCGCCTGCGTGTAAAAATAGACCTTCAAACGCTTTGTTCATCTCCCCATTGAAACTCAAATGAGAGGTTGTGTGTGACGTCAGCTGGTGCCTAATTGATCGACTGGAAATTACCGTTCTACTAGAACAGTTCTCATGTCGGTTGGAACAGAGCTATAGGTTATTTATTTGAACTTACCAATTCGAGTTCTTGTTTGTTTTTGGTTTTAGGTAGTTTGTGATCAATACGATAATATTTCTCTCATAAAAAAATAAATAAAATAATATCAATAATTTGATTTTTTTTCAAACTATCGATAATTTATCGATAGTTTCGATATTCACCACCATGACTATCGAAACTATCGATATTATTTTTTTATCACTATCGTCAACTCTAGTTGTAAATGGCATCATTTCCATGAAGAACAAATATGTCATTATTCTCAAGGCATTTCACAATGAAGATCATAACACACAAACTCACAAATGACAAAAGTAGTGAAGAAGGAATTGAATCAGAAAATGGCATTGATTGTTTTGATGATGATATTGATGGGTGAAGAAGCAAATGAAAAACTCAAAAAAGAACCATTAAAAAACCTACAATGATTAAAGATGATATCAGTGAGGAAGAAATGCCACTTCCTCGATGTGAAAGCTGATAAATCTAATGGAAATACATATTATTAGATATAAATTCGTTTTAAAGTTTTAATATTTCTCATCAGCTGTGGCAAATGAGTTTGCTGCAAATAGGAGGAATCGATCCGTTGATTCAACAGGCAGGAAAAACCAAAAATCAACATTTACTGCTAGTGCGAGTCGTTTCATCGGGAAACAAGCAACAAAACCGAAAAGAGCAGAGAATCGATTCGTGAAACAAAAACAACAAAAACAAAGACACGTTTCATTTGCTCATTGACATTCAATAAACATTTTGAGCCGATCGTCCAATGCCGGGTTTTTCGTGCCGCGATTGGCGAAACTCGTCGCCGTAACGCTTTAATGGCGGCAGCAGGAAGGTCGGTCGCAGGAAAACCCGCGACCAATACGATAACGCGACATCGAGTCACGTGGTTGCTTAATATATTGTGTCAACTTGTTGATATTTCCAAAATCGACGTCTTTTGAAAATTCATATTTTTCTCATGGGTTGAGGTTTGAGCACGCATAGACCGCCAAAAAATAAAAATTATATACTGTGCCCGAACTATATCGTGACGGCCGCATATTAGTCTTTTGGGTCACTAATTTAGAGATGCACCATTGCCAATTTAGATACCGAAGACGAGAAGGCGACGTCGTCTATTATCATGAGTTTTTTATATTCATTTCTTTTTCTAAAGCTCAGGAGCGGATTCAAATTTTCTCAGACTCGGATTGAATCCAGAGAAACAGAAAACTATTGAAGATATACCTAAGCACAGGATGCTAAAATTGAACATCAATCTATAAAGTTTCATAAAGTTAAAGTTTTTTTTTGGGGATATAAGGTACAGTTTAGTTTGTCGTTTAAAGTTTACCAATATATAATTATATATTTATAATTAATATTTAGCAACACTGTGATCTATATTGGTCAAATCAGATGAGCCTGATAATATACCTTATCGTATTTTTTGCCTGCAGGTATTATTAATTCTTACTCATCAATAATCGGTTTGCTAGATGAAATGATTTCAGTCTCAAATTATATAATAATGAAACATTATTTTTCTTGTACCTATATACCAGTCCTGACCTACACAAACTTTTTAAAGTAGAGGTACATAATAACCCCAAAATAAGGCCAAATGTTAAAAACGCTTCAAAATCTCATACATCATGATTATGCAAATCGGCATCAGCAAAAACTTTTGCGTCAGTATACGGTAGTCCCAGCCAGTCACGACATGCTCAAATCAATTATTTTTTTGAGTCGTGTAGTTAAAAATATGTCCTCAGAACACAATCAAAAGGATTATTTGAACACGTGCGCCCAATCGTTTTCTTTCTCGAAGAGACCAAATGCCATATTAGGAGATTTTTTTGCGCCCCATCAGCAGAAATATCTACGTGTTTTTGTCGACAAAACGCTGAACAATAGTTGGCTGGTCGCTGGATGGTGCACATTATAAACCCACTCAAATAATCATCTACAAACAGAAAGGACAATAGTCAACTGGTACTCAAGTGAATTCTGTTAGAGGAGAGAATGAAATAAAGTCAAAAATTTTACCTCTAGAGGAAAGGAATCTCTTTTTAGAGGTGTCTTCTCATTCAAAATATAATATTTTTCGTGATACTGTATTGTTATCTTAATATAACATGAGCGAAATTGAAATTGAAATAGTATATTACATACCGAGTTGAGAAGTGTTTCATTATGTCGAGAGATTAGTTAGTTAACTACAGTGGCGTAACTACAGGGGGGCCGCCCCCCCCCCAGACTTCGCCAGGCCCCCCCACCCAGAAAAAACTTTAATAATTTGGTATTTTATGAAAGCTACGTTACCTATTATAATTTGATGTTATTACCTACTAAATTTGAACGGTAATGCGGCGATCCCGATTTACCCTATCCGGTCCTTCGATCCACCAACGAATGGTGCTGTGTGCCATTGTGCCACCACAAGGTCAGTGCAGAAGTAAGACAGTATACCCAAGCCATTAAATTAGCATTAGCAATATAACAAATTAGTTTGACTAAATATTTTTCCTGTGAATCTGTGAATCGGTGTTGCTGATATTATACTATACAGTGGCTGATAAGCTGGGTTAGCTAGGTAAGTAATTTAAGCCCGGTTTAGCCAGCTAATTGTCTATAATGCACTGTTCTACTTTTTTTAAAATTCCAATAAGTCACAATAACAGGCCCTCAGGCCACTGACGCCAACTACATAGGGGCATTGGGGCAGGTGCTCCCATGATCAACCTCTGATGGGTGCTCGGAGCTCTCGTGGGGAATGCGGAAGTACAAACGTATTTAATGATCATTCCATTCCGTGTGGTAGTATCAGTATCATGTAATTCAAATTTACACATTTTTGTATAAGAATTATAAAAGTGGTATTAGTCTTAGATTAGGGAGGTATTCTGTCCTTTCGTTATTTGTGGTCAATTCTATGCTCTATTACTTTATATTGCCTAATGTTGCTATTCTCCATCTCTATTCTTTGATAATAATCGGGACATGAAGCATTTTGGGACATAAAAGTACCAGGGTAACCTTACATTGCATAATTATTTTAGTGATTCTTTCATGGCCTAAAATCCGTGCACGCTCGTAGAAAAAAATAGAAAAATATATACACTATAAAATAGACGTTTTTAGGCGTGGCATCCGGAAAAAAAATGTCGCCTTCAACGAGCTTCCCCCCTCCCCCCTATAAACAAATTTATAAAAATATTATCCTGCATCTATGAGGTTTTTCAAAAATCGACGCCGCTGCCAGGCCCACCCTAGCCCCCCCCCCCCCCAGGTCAGATGGCTAGTTACGCCAGTGGTTAACTATAATTTCGAGACAGGAATGAAACTTCCTACCGAGGTTTGTATACTATTTTATTTACAACAATTACAGCCATCACAATTTTAAATCTTTTTGATTCATTCCTATTTGCTTCAGTATGTCGACCATTTTATCGTGTTGGACTCGGTCAAATGCTTTTTGATAATCGATTAGGCAAGCATATACATCACAGCTGACATCCCTACATCTCTGAAACAACACCTGAACACCAAATAGAGCCTCTCTTGTACCGACGGCGTTCACAAACCCAAACTGGTTCGGTGAAATCTGTTCTTCACAAAGTCTATATATTCTTTTGTATATTATCTTGAGAAACGGCTTTAAGAAATGACTCATCAAACTTATTGTTCTAAAATCACCGCAGCTTTTGGCACTTGCTTTTTTCGGCAGTGTGATAAATTCTGACCTTAACCAATCCGCTGGAATTTCTCCTGTTAAGTAGATGTTGTTGAATATTCTTGTCAGCTATTTGATTTTATCCTCGTTCAGTAACTTTAGGAATTCAGTCTGTATTTGATTCAGACCAGCTGCTTTCCGTGGCTTCATTTCCGAAATGGCGGCTCTCACCTCGTCCACAAGAATTTCCGGTCCCTCTCCTATAATTGGGTTTTGTTCTTTGCGTACATCATGGAATAGATTCTCTAGATATGTTTTCCAGGCCTCCTTCTTTTTCTCCGCGTCAATGATGATTTCTCCTGCTTCGTTGACCAAAGGTTCACAGTTGTTTTTGTGGCGTTTCCTTGTTACTTCTCGGACTTTCCTGTGAACATTGATGTCATCGTGCATATTTTGATGGTGTCCGATCTCGCGACATTTTTTATAATGCATTGTATACGTTTATATTCCGTTGGATTTCCTTTATTTTGTCTTTTTTCTTCCATCAAGTTCAATATTTCTGTCGTAATCCAATATTTTCTCTTTATTTTGTCCGGATTCAATATTTCCTTCTTTAGTGTTTCTACTCCTTGCTTTAATTTGTTGAGTTCCATATCGACGTTGTTGTTTTCATTTGGTTGAATGTTGTTGTTGAGCAATATTGCTACTGCTTCCTCTATTGCTGGGGTTTTGAGTCTCTGAAGGTCATAGTTTGGAGTCATCTTAGTGTTGACCTTCTTCATTTTCACCTTAAATACACCAACCAAGAGACAGTGATCTGATCCAATGTCAGCTCCTGGATTTTTTTTGAGGGTTAGGCAGCTATTTCTAAACCTTTTATTGACTAACATGAAGTCGATTTGGTGTCTGACTATATTCTTCCCGCTTCATCAATAGGTGCTTTCCACATATATAATCTTCTTGGCGGCAGTTTGAACCAAGTGTTCATTACTACGAGTTCATTTATTACTGCAAAAACTTCATGTGTGTCCCCTCTTTTGTTTCTTTCACCTAGTCCATGTGATCCTATAACGTCTGATGTATGACCTTCTCCCACTTTTGAGTTAAAATCGCCCATTACAATTGCGATATCTACTTCTTCAGTTCTTTCAGTATTTTATTGACTGTTGTGTACATATTTTCCACTTCTTCATCTTCTTTATCCAGCGTAGGGGCGTATATTTGTATGATGTTCATGTCAACCGGACTCGCTCTTATTTGGATTAGTGCTATTCTTTCTGATACGGGTATAAAGGCTTTCACACACTGCGCTATTTTCTTGTTCAAGACAAAACCCACACCGTGTTCATGTCTTCCATTCGTAGTGCCTGAAAAGAGAACTCTATAATCCTCGATGTTTATATCACCAATGTCTGGCAATCTCATTTCACTTATTCCAAGGATATCTATCCTTTTGGATCTTTAATGAGGTGGGTGTCCAAAGTTCTTTCTCATCCTTATGCCGTTGACAGTTCTACTATTCATCCGCCTTTGGAGCTGGTTTCCCAACTCCAGGACAAAAGAGTGCCCTTCCTTTCTCGACTCTTCCACCCGAAGCTGTTGGTCGACAAGGGTTTGGAAGTTAATCTAGCAGGATGTACCACGTGCAGGTGAGGTTGACATTTGGGTCGGTGTTTCTTTAAACACCGAAACTTCTTACACCCAATTTCCGTATAGCAAGAGTTTTCATCAGGTTAAGATCCATAGAGTTAAGATCTATAATATTTGAACAGGTTATTGATTTTAAATTATTACTTCCAAGGTATTGACCTAAAACTCTGAAACTAATACGTGAGTTTTTATAGTCATAAGTAAGAGTCATTCAATTCACTCGTTGTCGGACCTAAGGTGTCAGAGTACCTATCCCACTTGAACTTTGAACTACTTATAAGTGAGTGAATAGCTGCGGAAGTCGCGTAGTTCGTCCCTTAATTTTTTCACTCATCACTTCCAAATATCTACAAGACGACCATAGGAGCTATTCACTCAATATTAGGTCTTTTAAGTACAATATTAGCCGGACAACGAGTGAATTTTTGAAGTTATGAGTTGTCAAACAATCATTATCAAAGCCAAACTCATTGTATTTGGTCCATTTTCCGCTCTTCTGCATTGAATTTACTGATTCCTTCTTATTAAAATTCTCCAAATCGTTCTGTTCTTTGTTCTTTGGTATTTAGTTCTGTTGAAATCTGTCTATTTTAATAATCCCAGCTCTTGTAAGAAATCTTTCACAAAAGCTGGTAATCGAAAAGAATTCCACCACTGCGTATAGGGATACGGGATGATCAATAGGTTATTATCCCTGGCTCTAAATGTAGAACATCTTTCACGAGAGCCGGTAATAGAAAACAATTTTACCCACTGTAATCTGACAACAAAAATAGGCCACTGTATAAAGATACAGAGTGATCAATATTTTATTATTCCCGGCTCTTGTGAGCAATTTTCTACGAAAGCTGGTAATCGAACACAATTCCACCACTGTGTAGAGATACGGGGTGATGAATATGTTATTATTTCTGGCTCTAAATGTAGAAAATCTTTCACGAGAGTTGGTAATAGAAATAGTATATTACATGCGGAGGTGGAAAGTGTTTCATTATTGTCGAGAGATACTATGGTTGACCGAGGTGCGAAGCGCCGAGGTCAACCAATTCTCGAGACAATATATGTGAAAACTTTTTACCGAAATATGTATACTATTTTATTTTGAACCATTGATAAAAAAGTAAGATAAAAATATGACAAAAATGGAATTTCGACTGACATTCTGACACCGACATTGACATCTGATGGAATTTCAACAATATAAACACATGTGATACAAATACAAACATTGCACCTGGATTTGTGTTTAGGTGTGAAAGAACAATTGAGCAGGCCGAAAGTGAGTTCTCCAGGAGCCCGATTCTCGGGCAGGGAGTAGAGCTCCCCGATAGAACGAACTTTTTTGTCCTTGTCAACGTATTCGAAAAGTAAACGGGAATGATGAAGACAAAAAATTTGTTCTCTCGGGGAGCTCTACTCCCTGGCCCGAGAATCGGCCCCCAGGTCGAAAGTAACAGGAGAAGTGACACTTTCGGCCTGGAGAACTCACTTTCGGCCCTGATAAATTGTCCTTTCACACCTAAACACAAATCCAGGTACAATGTTTGTATTTAGAAGTAGATGTCACATGTGTTTATATTGTTGAAATTTCCTAAGATGTGAATGTCGGTGTCAGACTGTCAGTCAAAATTCCATTTTTGTCATATTTTTACCTTATTTTATTCAATAATCAATGGTTCAAAATAAAATAGTATACATAATTCGGTGGAAAGTTTTCATATTATTGTCTCGAGAATTGGTTGACCGTGTTATCTCTCGACAATAATGAAACACTTTCCACCTCCGCATGTAATATACTATTACACACTGTAATTTGACAACAAAAATAAACCACTATATAAAGATACAGAGAGTGATCAATATTTTATTATTCCCGGCTCTCGTAGGAAATCTTCTACGAAAGCTGGTAATCGAAAACAATTCCACCACTGTGTGGAGATACGGGGTGATCAATATGTTTATCCCTGGTTCTAAATGTAGAAAATCTTTCACGAGAGCCGGTAATAGAAAACAATTTTACCCACTGCAATTTGATAGCAAAAATAAGCCACTGTATAAGGATACAGAGTGATCAATATTTTATTATTCCTGGCTCTTGTAGGAAATCCTCTACGAAAGCTGGTAATCGAAAACACTTCCACCACTGTGTAGAGAATGTAGAGATACGATCAATATGCCATTATCCCTGGCTCTAAATGTAGAAAATCTTTCACGAGAGTCTGTAATAGAAAACAATTTTACCCACTGTAATATGACAAAAAAATAAGCCACTGTATAAAAATATAGAGTCATCAATATTTTATTATTCCCGGCTCTTGTAGGAAATCTTCTATATACGAAAGCTGGTAATGGAAAAGAATTTCACTATGCGGCCATACATTACGTAAACGATCGTACCCTTATATGAAACGTTTTCTAACTTTAAAAAGTGTTGTATTGATTTTGTAGCTGTGTTCGTAGGTTTTCTGGTTTTCTTTATCTGTAAGTACTGGTTTATATTGTTCAAGTTATTCTAGTGATAACTAAAGCCTATTTTACAATGGACGTAACGTAACCGCAAAGACGTACCATAAGTCCTAAGCATGCGCACATTAGATTTATTTGCGTCAAATATGTTACTGGAAACGCAACGTAAGAGAAGATGAGAATAATTCAAATTTTGAATATTCGCGATTCTTGATTGGCTTAGAAATTCAAATTGGAAATATTCCCGGATCTCGTGATTGGCTCTGAAATTCAATTTTTGAATTTTCCCGGCTGCTGATTGGGTTTAAAATTCAAATTTTGAATATTCCCGACTCTTGATTAGATTGGAAATTCAACTTTTAAATATTCCCGGCTCTTGATTGGGTTTAAAAATTCAAATTTTGATTATTCTTGGCTCTTGATTGGTTCTGAAATTCAAATTTTGAATATTCCCGCAGCCTTATTCTATAACTTGCGACCGAGAGAATTGCACAATCGTCGCTGTCGAATCGATATTAGACGCGAGTTTTCTATTCAAAAAAAGCAACTTGCGACCGGTTGCTAGTTGCTATGTAGCTATGTAGTTGCTGTTCGTAGAGAATAAGCCTGCCGGCTCTTGATTCGCTTAAAAATTCAAATTTTGAATATTCCCGGCTCTTGATCGGGTTTAAAATTTGAATTTCTTAGCCAATCAAGAGTCCGGAATATTCAAAATTTGAAGCGAATCAAAAGCCGGGAATAATCAAAAATTCAATTTCTAAACCAATCATAAGCCGGGGATATTCAAATTTTGAATTTCAGAACCGATCAAGAGCCAGGAATATTCAAAATTTGAATCTTGAACCCAATCAAGAGTCGAGAAAATTCAAAAATTGATTTTGGAAGCCAATCAAGAGCAGGGAATATTCAAAATTTGAATTTCAAAGCCAATCAAAAGCCAGGAATAATCAAAATTTGAATCTTAAACCCAATTAAGATCAGGGAAAATTCAAAAATTGACTTTGGAAGCGAATCAAGAGCCGGGAATATTCAAAATTTGTGCCAATCAAGAGACGGGAATAATCAGAAATTTAATTTCTAAACCAATCATGAGCCGGGAATGTTTTAAATTTGAATTTTAAACCCAATTAAGAGTTGGGGAAATTCAAAAACTGGCTTTGGAAGCATATCAAGAGCCGGGAATATTCAAAATTTGAATTTCTAAGCCAATCATCCAAGACCCGGGAATGATTAAAAATTGAATTCCTAAACCAATTAAAAGCCGGAAAATTCAAAAATAAACCAATCAAAAGCCAGGAAAATGCAAAATTCGAATTCCAAACCCGACGAGAAACTAAATTTTTTTACCAAATGTTGCTATAAACGAATTCAATACATTTTCATATAACAAGTGTTGCTACCTAAAATCTCACCCTAAAAACCCACTAAAAAAAACTACCTCCTAAACGACTTGTTGCTACACTTTCGCTGGTGTTGCTACACTTTTCCTTTTAAAAAATGCTGCTACATAAGTTCATTGAAATCTTGCTGTAAACCTACTAAAAACTACTCCCAACGATTGTGTTGCTACACTTTTTTTCCGTGTTGCTACATAAGAAATTCAACAAACTCTTGCCCTGAGCAAAAACTATCCTACAAATGACTTGTTGCTACACAAAAACGAGTG